CCAATGCATCACATAGGTATAGCTCACTCTTGGCACAGCTGGTGTGACCAGACACCCTGGCAAGTAGCTCTGGCTTGGGGAGACCATTCTGTTCTGGTGAAGTGAGGAGCTGAGGGAGGAACCAAAAGAAATGAGATGCAAGCAGCTATGGCCCAGCTCACCTTGGAGAAAAGGCTCAGAGATCAAGATTCATGGGAGCTGGCAATAAATTCCCAGAAATTCTACCATAAACATCCAGCGTGAGGTTAATCACCTACCATAAATGCAACCACAGCCCATGCAGAAGCAGGACTCAGGGTGGGGGGGTCTCCTCAAAAGTGCCCAAGGCCAGCCCTGCCCACCTCTGTCCCCACCTGCTGGAGAAGAAGGAAGTAAAGACTCCACCTGGTGACATCTGGCTATGCCTGGACAAATGACTCCTATATGGATCTGTTTCCTCTCCTGTTATTAGGGGTGGGGATGGTCAGCCTCAACATTAACACAAGTTTTATGATTCTATATATCACTCAAGGAGTCCAAGGAATTTGGCTCCAATCTGAAAACAATGAGGATTTTCTCCAGAGGGTAGAGCCTAATGATGATAAGCAGGTATTTTCTGAGCACCTGCTGGGTTCTCCCTGGATACAAGAAATTCAAGCCCCTGCCCTCAGGACACACAGGAGTCAAGAACAAACAGCCACTCACATGCCCACCCTGTGTGCATACATTCCCTCTGATCCTAACAGCTAGTCAGCCCCTTGCCCTCCCACTTAGACACACACACACCGTCCAAGTGAGAGTAGTGCCACCTCTCCCACCCATCACAGCCACGTGCATGCCACCCTTCAATGCACATCATACAAGTCCCTGTGCACACACAGCCAAATCATCCAAACCAAGACACCCAGGTACTCGTTACTGCTGAGGACTCCTGACTGCAAGTGCCTGAGACCCAAGTCAAATGGGCTTAAGCATGAAATAGCATTTATTTGCTTACATAATTGGGAGGTTTGGGATGTATATATGCCTTTGGTATAGCCAGATGAGGGACTTGATGATGGCATCAGATTTTCTCTCCTTCCCTTGACTGTTTCCTTCCTGTGGGCTTCCTTTTCAGCTGACCATGTCCATGCTACAACAAGGATGGCAACCAAGAGAGAGTCTCTTTCCCAGTCTTTATGGCTTAAGTTCCAAAGCTGACTCCCATTGGACTGACTGAGGTCACATGCTCCTCCTGGAACCAATCACAGTAGCAGGGGGACTGGGATACCAGATTGTGAGCCAGGTAGGGGACAAGGTGGTCAGCCCCTCTCAAACTCTATAGAAGAAGGGCAGAAGAAGGTAATTCACCAAAAGAAGAAGAGATGCTGGGCAGGTAAAAACAACAGATGTTCGCTACTTACTATAACCCCAATGTACACAAAGGAGATGTGGAAATATAGAGGCTATAGGGGTATAAAGATATTGGTGTACACAGCCATTGTATAAATATAAATCCTGCCTGGTCAAAGTCTACCTTCTCTACTTATCAAGGAAATATTGCTCTCAGATAAATGAGTGATTCAGACATAGGATATAGGAATTCAGAGGCAGAGAAGAGCTGTTTTAAATGAGTTTGAAAAAAAACAAAATGAGTTTGGGCTTGATGGAAGTGAGTTTAGAAAAGAAATATGTGAAATGCAGTAAGTTATTGGATAAGAACAGGTTTCCTATGAAACAGCAAGGCCAGGTGGGGAGGAGGGGATGGGATTGAGGGTTTCAAACGCCAGACAGTTTATCCTATAGGTCACAGGGACAAAGGAAGATGTGGGCCAGGAGGAAGACACGGTTAAAGCAGTGCTTTAGGAAGATTCAGGGGGCTGCAATGTGTAGGTCAGACAGTAGGGGCTAAAACTGGCAGGAGACTAGACAGGGGGCTATTGCAGCACACAAGTAAGAAGGCTTGTGGGGTGCCAGGAGCAGGGTGGTGAGAGGATGGTAAGAAGAAAGAACCAACAGTATATGGCAGTTGATTGCCTGGCCAAGTCCAACATGAAGGGAAGCGAGAAGGTGACTCAGAGGCACTTCCAGTAGCTCCCTTCTGACCCTAGCACCTTCTGCTCTAGCAGACTGAAGCTCACACTCACCACGAGCTGCTGGACATTAGCATCAGACCACAGCTTCTTGCAGACAGGACAGCATCCGCTAGAGTCTATGTCTGGTTCCCATCCCTGCGCCAGCCTCTGTCTGGCAGGGCATCCACCCAGAGAAGATGCCTCAGAGGGCATGTGTAGACTCTCCCCCTGAACACACACAGTTTACCCCCATCACCTTACCTTTGTTCATCACACATGCACGCACACACACACCTTCATACCAGCAACAGGGTGATGAGGCCATCATGAAATCCTCTGTGGTCCTCAACAGGAGATCCAAATCTGGGAGAAGCTGTTTTCTCCCCTCCCATCATGCCATGCTTGGAGAACAGGGTTTGGCTCTTGTCTGACTCTGATGAAGGACCTGGACAAATGGGAGCCAAGGCAAAGAGATGTCTAGGATAAGGAGATGAATGCAAACCACATTCTGCAGACCTCTTAGGTAGCTGGCACTGAGAGTATGCTCCCTGGAGAAGAGGTACAGACTGCCAGAGGAAGAAGGGACATTCATCTGTATGGTGGTGGTGGCGGTTTAGTCGCTAAGTCGTGTCCGACTCTTGTGACCCCATGGGCTGTCCCTGCCAGGCTCCTCTGCCCATTGTCCAGGCAAACATACAGGAGTGGGTTGCCATTTCCTTCTCCAATTCATCTGTATGGCCCCTGGGACATGACCAGCACCAACAGGAAGGAGCCCCCAGAGAGAGGCTTCTGCTGGCTGTGAGAAAAGACCCCCAAAGCTCAAGCTTTGGACAAGTGCAATCGGTATTGTCACCTGGGAAGTGGTGGCAGAAGTTCAATAGATGGGTTGGCAGGGCCCTGGACACACATCCTAAGACCTACTATGTGGACTATGAACGTCCCCTCATGGAAACTTACAAATAGTTTGTAAGTTTATCCCTCTAGGCAGGGATGGGTAAGTGCCCTAGTCCACATGGCTCTGAAGAGGACTGGACTGAATGCAGTGGACTCCTCACTGGTGGGATTGACCAAGCCTGTTGATCACACCTACTGCAGCCAGTGTGACTGAAGGCCAGAGGATACTGAATGAGATCAAAAGAATTTTGTAACCACTTCCCAACTGTGTGAAGCTAGGCACACTACTTAATCCCTCTGAGGTTCCTTTTCCGCAGCTGAAAATGCAACTACCTAAGGACTGGTCTGATGATCAGGTAAGTCAACAGTTGAGGATTTTCAATCAATGTTAGCTCGACTCTCATCACACCTCCCCCATGCGCAGCCTCCCCATTCCTTCACCATCTTCAGGACCAACAGCCCATGGAACTTGTGTTCACACCCACTTTGACTCATTTGCCTGGTGAAAATTGAAGTCCTTGAAGGATGGGACCATGTCTCATGCATCTCTGTGTCCTCTGCAGTGTCCACTCAGCCCCTGGGATGTGTTCACAAGGCAGAGAGCGATCGTTCAGAAGGGTTGAGGGTAACTAGAGAGAGGTGGTGATCACGAATATAAGAAGGAGTCTCTGGGATTGTAATAAAGGGATAACATGCAAAACTCTGCTGCAATGCAAAACAGAAGCTTGCAAATCCAATTCCAAGGAAGCCAGCCGTGCAAACTGAGCACTGCCCGTGACACCCTCTCTGCTTCCCCAGCTCCCAAACCAGGGGTCTTTTCCCTGCCATCCTTGATGATGGTGAAGGTGGTGATGTGGGAAATAAATGATGGTGATAATGATGTCAGCTTTCATTTGTTGGGTTCCCACTAATGGTCAAAGTGTCAGATCTCTTACATATTTATAATCATAAAATAACCGAGGAGGAAGGTAACATTACCCCATTTTACAGATAAGGAATCTAAAGGTCCTGCAAGATTTGACCTCAAGTCTGGGGTAAGTCCAAAGCCTGGGCATGCTATTTTCAGTGATGTTCTCTTCTGAATAACTCAGAAGAAATGTCCCCCCAAAATTTTTCTTCTTTTATTTAGCAATCCAAAAAATATATTGTTGGTCCTTTAATGGACCGGAACCTGGTGGTTCCGGGAGTAAGAGAGAGAAAGAGGCTGATATCCCCTGGTTTAAGCGGAAAGCCAATAGAGTCCTGTTCTTAGGGCTCGCGTTGCTGCACATAGCCACCAGGCGCCCTCTCAAGTGGGTCTTAGAAGCCCGGGCAAGGAAGTGAGCTCAGCGGACCTCCGCGCTCCAAGGAATTAGCCAGAAATAGAGAGACAGAGAGAGAGAGAGAAGAAAGAAAGAAAGACACAGGGACCAAAGCTCTGATGGAGCAAGGATGTTTTAATCAACATGGCTTGGGCATATATACTGTCTTACAAGGTGGTTATTCTCAACAAAGACAAAGATTAAAATTTCAGACTTACAAAACATAAGATGATCCCTACCAAAGAGACAGAGTTGCAAACAATCACCTTTTACCATTTGGATCATAAAAAGGAAGAGGGTACTTATCACTGTGATGAGAAATGCCTGGATTCCTCAGCTCCGGGAAAGGCGTGCCTCTCCTCTTAATTCCTGAATATTCAGGAACCAATAAGGGCCAGAGGGTTCCTGACAGATCCAAAACAGCACACAGGAAGCCTCTTGTTAAATGCTTCCTGACAATATACATTATATTCATTCACTGAACATCTAAATGACCTCTTCTACTTAGTAATCCAGACAGACCTAGGGGACAACTCCCAAAAAAAAGAAAGCCCAGGAGAGCAGAGACCTTGACTGCCTTACTGACTACTATATCTGCAGCCTTAGAAAGTGCTTAGAAAGCACCTTCCAACATATGATGAATGAATTCACTAAGCACTGACTCAGTCTACGCCATTGTGTGTATGTGTGTGTGTGTGTGTATTAGAGAGGGTAGGAGAGCAGCTCAGGTCAGGTAGGGTCGGTACTACCTACCACCCAATATCCAACATACCTTCCGGGATTCCTTGGTCTCTAAGAGCTAAAACAACTCCAAAACAGATCACAATGACACAACCCGGTCTAGTGACAAAGCTGCTGACCTGGAAGGTGGAATTGGGCTTGGTCCCATCCAGCCGGAACCTATTTAGCCCCAAGGAGTGTTAGGCAGGCTTCTATGGCAACACAACTGCAGTGTGTGTTTTTGCATTCCCAACAGAATTCCAGCCTGAGGCCAAGATTCCCCAAGGCATTGCTCCTGTACTGCCCTCTCCTTCCCTGGTTTCCCAGGTGATCATCTTGGAAAGCTAAGAGAAGCACAAGCCACAGAAACAGCCTCCTTAACATGGGAGACGAAAGTGAAAGTGGCTCAGTCGTGTCCGACTCTCTGTAACCCCATGGACTATACAGTCCACGGAATTCACCAGGCCAGAATACTGGAGTGGGTAGCCTTTCTCCTTCCCTGAGGATCTTCCCAACCACCACGGATCGAACCCAGGTCTCCCACATTGCAGGCAGATTCTTTGCCAGCTGAGCCTCAAGGGAAACCCTGGGAGACAAAGGAGAGGGCCATTTCCCTACCAGATCAGAGCTTCTGGCTCAGGAGTATCCCGTTGCAGAAGTCAGAGTCCCCAGGCCTCCTCCTAGTTCCATGGGTCCATAGCTCCCATGGCCCTCACATTTGCAGCCACAAGAACCCTCCACCTCCAACCACCCCTCCCCACCCACAGCCTGACCCTATTTCACATGACAGCCAGCTCCTACACAAACTCTCTCTCCACCTGGTTTCTTCACCAGACTCTCCTCTCTCTGGCTCCATTCCAAATACCTCTTACAGGAAGCCCTCCCAGACTTTCCCTCTCAGACTTCTCCCTTGGTTTCCCATCTAGGACTCTGATCTGGTCTCCCAGAGTTGGGCATGGGTGTAAGTACCCCCCACCCAATGACTTAGGAGTTTCCTTAAGGCAGTAATGACAGCTTTTGATCCTTAGAAACTAAGAAATCAGCACTGTCTTCATTTTACAGCTGAGGAAACTGAGCATCGAGGTTAAGAATAGCTTGCGCTCTAACAGTAGAACCGGGCCCTGTCGGCCTCCCTGCCTTACCCCTCCCTCTCTCCCCATCCCTTCAGGGTCTTACCATATGCCAGGCACTCCCTGAATCATAGACTTTTTATAACCCCATTTAATCCTCCCAATTAACCTATGAGGAAAGTACAGTTAGCCTTATTTATACATAAAGATGCAGAAGTTTAGAAACTTTAGATCCATTCTGTAAGGTCACGTAGCACCTGGGTGTCAGGATCAGAATTCTACCCAACTCTTCTGGCGCCGAAACCCAGTTAGGTTTCCCAGTCCCGCTGGGTTTCCCCATTCTGAGTCTAACCAGACACAGAGACACAGGGGATAGTGCACAGATCCTCCAGCCCAGCATGAAAGCGTTCAGTCATCAGCCAGCACCTCTGACAAAGGAAGATGACTTCCAGAAGGCCTGCAGAAGCTGCCCTGCTGATCTGTGGAGGCTTAGGAACCCCAGGACAGCTGAGAGCAGGCTCCCTGGGTAGCTGACCTCCTGCTCTCATTCCTTGCCCAGCCCACAAATCCTCTGAGCTGACACACCCTCGAGCCCTTTCACTTCTGCAAATTCCTCCACCACCTCCAAAGTGCTCTAGGCTTTGTCATAGAATTCTTTTTTTTTTTTTCCATTTTCATTATAAGAATTGTTTTCAACAGTTCTTGAAACAACACCTACGGCCGGCCACAGCAAATTACACTGGGGAATCAAATAACCCATGCTCCAGGCTCAACTCAGTCTCTAAGTTGCTGTGTGACCTTAGACAGGTCATTTCCTCTTTCAGAGCTACAGTTGTAGCATCTGTTCAATGAAGGAGCAGTCCCATTTATTTTTAAAATTTCTTGAAATTACATTTTATTGTTAATGACATTTAAATTCATTTCGTTTTTAGAACTTTGATCTTCCCAAGTGATTGCAATGTCTTGGGGAAAACATTAAGCTTGAAATCACACCTGATTTGGGCACTCAGCTTTTGTTCTCTCCTATATAAAGTCAATTATGTAATGCTAATGTTTGCAAGAGGTTTTCTTTGCCCCTTTGCAGTCCCCATATAGAACTACTGCTGGGAAGGATAGGGGTACAGGATAGTTAGGGAGTTGGGGATCAACATGTACACACTGCTCTATTTAAAATAGATAACCAAGAAGCACGTATGGTATAGCATAGGGAACTCTGCTCAGGGTTATGTGGCAGCCTGGTGGGAGGGGAGTTTGGGGGAGAATGGAGACGTGTATATATGTATAGCTGAGTCCCTTTGCTGTCCACCTGAAACTATCACAGCACTGTTAATTGGCTATATTCCTTTATAAAATAAAAAGGTTTTTTTAAGTTAAAAAAAAAAATCAACCATTCTGATGGGTGAAAACTATAACCTCTCCTCCAAGAATTCACCCACCCCCTGTCTGTTGCCTCCTCCTCCGTTAAAGGGCTCCTGTGATAAGTCCACTCTCACCTGCCCTCCAGAGTTTACCTCCCTGCAATACCAACCCTTTAACAAAACAGCATCAAGTCCTTTAAGTAATGCCTTGATGTGATGATTTAATCACTAAATCCTATCAGACTCTTGCAACCCCATGGACTGTAGCCTGCCAGGCCCCTCTGTCCATGGGATTCTCCAGGCAACAATACTGGAGTGGGTTGCCATTTCCTTCTCCAAAGTAACGCCTTCCTCCCTTTCAAAGGAGCATCACCACCCTACTTCACTCATTTCTGCTCCTGCTGTTCCTTAATTAGCCAGTCCCCCCTTCAGTCTAGTCTTTTCTCCCTTTCAATAAGGCCCCAGCGATGGCATTTCAAAGCTTGAGCCTTTTTGTGACTCCTCCTCTCTGCTGTGAGCCCTGAGCTGTCTGTCTGTGCTTCTGACATGTCTGTTGTTTGGGCTCTGTGTTCTTTGTAACTTGGGTGTATCTTTCTCTGTGCATCCCATCTTTCAAGATGTGTAAATTTCACTTTTTTCTCTGACAGTGTAGGGGATGCGGGAAGTGGGTATGATTATATATAATTTTTCCCCAAATCCAAATTTTTTCAATATCTACCAAGTCTTTATATATATATAGATAGATAGATACATATATATATACATAAATTTATTTATTTGGCTGCACCAGATATTAATTGTGGCATGTGGGATCTTTATTTGTGGCATGTGGGGTCTAGTTCTTCAGCTAGGGATGGAACTCAGGCCCCTGCATTGGAAGCCTGGAGTCATAACCACTGGGTCACCAAGGAAGTCCCAATACTCACGAAGTCTTTTTTAATGCTGTACAGTATCATACAAGTTAAAGGCACATACAATATAGTCACAATTTTGAAAGGTTATGCTCCATCTATTGTCATTATATGACTATATTTTAATATAGAAAATGTGACCTGGAGATAAAATGAAAATAAATATTAAGTGGAAGTTTAAGCATTGAAATGGAGAAAAGGCTAGACTGAAGGAAGGACCAGCTAATGCGAGGAGGAGGAGTAGAATGAGGGAAAAGGAAAGAAGGGGATGTTCCTTTGCAAAAGGAGTGGTGCAGGGTGGGGTGGGGGGTCTCTCTTCACTCAGACCTACAGTGGGACAGGGGGCCCAGAGTCCAAGGCCCAGAGGAGAGTGGGAACAGCATGCCTCGAGGAGATGAGAGCAAGCCATGGCCTGGGTGGTGAGGAGACCTCCTGGGGGAGGAGGTGCCAAGAAGCAGATTTCTGAATATGGTGCTGAGACGCCTGAAATTCCTGGAAAAGTCTGTGTAAAGCAAGGTCAGGCCCAAGAAGAATGCAATTGGAGGTATGTACTCACAGCCCACCACCTTGCAGAGAACCAGCCATAAACCTTATCTCTCCACCTCCGGAGAGCTGGGGAGAGCTATCTCCACATTCCCCGGAATTCAGGCTGAGTCAGCCAGGGGGGTTGGGAGGCCTGGGCCAAACACCTGAGTCACCCCGGCATGGGTGGTCCATCCGGAAATGAAGTGGGAGCAAAGGGTGGCCAGGATCACTGATGCCAACAAAGGCTAAGTGTCTTGGATTCCTATCAGCCATCCCCTAGCCAGAAATTTCCCTCCCAAGGAAGTTAGGTCCCGGGACTGGACAGCACTGTATTGCAGCAGCAAATTTGGACATTCAGGACAGTGAATTTCTCATGGCCTGTGGGTTTTCCCTCTCTCTGCCACCATCAACTACTTCTCCAGCTTCAAAAATGTCAGTTGACTCACCCTCTTTCTTGGGGGATTGGAGCAGGACCCAGAAGGGAGCCCAATCCTAATTCCAATCTGTCCCCCTTCCCCCATGAGCAGAGCCCTGGTTTCCATGGAGGAAGGAGGCGAGAAGAGGCAGTGTTCCTTGCTGTCTGTGTCCCTGAGAAATTCTCCACCTCCCTGTCATGTTCCCTCCCGCCTTCTCGAAGGCAAGTGAGAAGGGCGCCCAGGGACAGAGACGTGCAGCCGCGAACGCCCTCCTCCTCCTCGCAGAGTTGGGGAAGAGATGACCTCACTGCCGCCCAAGGCTCCTAGACACGTAGGCTTTTTCCCTGTGGCCCAGCCCCCCTCCTCCTCCGCACTGCACTCGTTTTGCTTTGCTCCAAGCTGTCCTCTCGCAGGGCCCAGGGCCCAGCCAGACTGTTCTACAAACACCGCTTTGATCCTGTCACTCCCCAGCTCAGAAGTTTCTTTGCCTTCAGAGTAAAGGTCAAGCTTCTCATGAAGGATGGAGCTGAATCCTTCCTGCCTGGCACTAGCTGCCTCCTGCCCCAGCCCCAGGGCTCTGCCTGTCCCTCCTGCCGCCATCCCTGGCAACTGCACCTGCTGAAACTTTACCCTTCCTGCAGGCCCTGGCTCCAGCACACCCCGGGCACTCTGCAAACATTTACTGAATGAAAATCACACACCAGGCACCTCCCCACACCACCGCCACAGTCAGCACAGTAGGAAGTGGCTCCTCCCACAGAGACCCTAAGAACTGATCTTTGTTACACCCTGGGCTGGGTTATGCCTGTCTGAGCACCCCTCCCTGATTGTAAACCCGAGCCACAGGCATCTGACAGGCAGT